GATAGATATACAGTTACATTCTCTTAATGAATAGAGGGATTTGTTCTACTGGTGTTTGTAAATATAATATCATGTCCGCATCTTGCACAGCAATTAACCACTAGGAAGAATGAATGCAATGTGTTAATTATTGAAACTGTCCTACCAATTTGCTTTGAAACTGTCTCATTGCTATTTGTTTCTCAATAAAATTATGAAAAAAATAAAAAAGTCAAGAAACAAAAAAAAGAGACATAAATATAGAATCATACCTTATGAAATTATCAAGGTAATAGCTCACTTGAAAATCCTCTCAGTGGCCTACCAAGTGCCTTTCACGTCACATGCGTGTGCGCCTTTGCGTGTGTGCGTACGGTGCAGCAATGCCTCAGTTCGCGGACGCCTCTGGCCAGGAACCTTCGCTCGATTCACAAACACAAGTGTCTGGCAAAGCCATCCTTCCACTCAAGAGCTCCAAATTGGGTGCTGCACATGACTGCAGCATCTACCCGAGAATTATCGAATTAAGCTCGTGAGAGCTTACATGTGCACTGCCACAATCCTCTACATGTGTATAAAAGCATGCCCTTATGCACATGTATGTGGTGTGCTCTTTACTTGCTTTTTTTTTTCCTTTGCCCCCCTGAGAGCCTGTATTTGAGCAAGTATTTGGGCAAGTGCAGCTTGCTAGCCCAGCCCGCTGGGAGTCCCTGGCATCTAGCTGACACAGGGAAGTGTGCACTCTGAACCATCCCCTGTGGGGACAGCGGGACTGGGGCAGGTGCAGGGATGGGGGTGGATTGGAGGGTGGAGGCTGGGGCCCTTCTACCCTGCTCACAGGGAAAAGAAAGTGCCCTTTCTACCCTGACTGTTTTCTCTTTTATTTCCTCCCCATGGGGAACAGAACCTTCTCCTGGCAGCCGCCTATGTTTCCGATGCCCAGTACAACAGAAATGTGCCCTTCCAAACGTCCCCTCAGGCGATCAGGTAATTAAGATACAAAACTGTCACGGGAGCCACCTGTCCTCTGGAACCTAGTATTCTTGAAGTTGAACCAACACTCAAGATGTTGCTTCCACAGATATTTGAGACAGATCAAGGGCACAGCACATTTGGATGAAATCTGGTGCTTTCTGTTGAGTTCCAGGAGCCGGGTGCGTTCATGTGGAGGAGCGAGAAGCACACTACGTGGGACGTGGGGCGGAGCTAGGGCACTTGGGCTCAGGACAACACTGCTTTGCTTCCAAGCGAGCGCCGTCTTCTCACAGTCACCCTAAGTGAAAACAAAGCCTCTTACTTTCCCAGTCAGGCTCTTTTGGTGCAATCCACAAGTTCTTTCTTTCTGTAGGAAGCCACATTTTCGTCTTTCACCGCTTAAGGATTGCACTGAGACCAGCATCTGGTCTAGAATGAGGGAGAGAAAACATTTTTATTATCAGGGGTCAGTGCGGCATCTCCAAAAGCAGTGAACATCCAGTCCCTCCCTGGATGCTGCCAGGCAGTGTGGGGACAGTCCCCACCCCAGGAAAAAGAACCCCATGACCCCCAGTCTGTTTGGGGTCTACCCTGGTAACATGGGTTAATGCATGTTGTCAAATCACCATCGGTTACCGTGCCACATAACGTCAGGTCACTTTAACTGACTTCATCCCACATCAGTCATTGGCTGAGTCTAAAGAGTATTCTCTGTCCCCCAAATCCTATGAAAAAGGAGCCCATCTTAGTCTGAGACTAAGAAAATGTGCTTTGAGATGTCAACATACATTTTTCCTGCTCATGTTCTATAGTATGAGCTCACTTCCACCCTGGCCCTGCTCCCTGGAACTTAAAGGAGATGTGGATAAGCCATAGCTTCTTTATTGTACCTATGCTAGGTGTTTGTTTGTTTGTTTGTTTGTTTGGCTTTTGTGGCCCTGGGACTCAAAGCCAGGGCCCTGCACATACTATGCAAGTGTTCTTAGCACTGAGCTGCACCCCCTGTTCCTCCTTCTCTTTTTGACTTCTATTAGTACAATTTTCAGTACATAACGCTTACATGCTCTATGGGGCACTGGTGTGCGTGCATGACACGTTTGAATTCCCCTCTTTTCCTCTTTCCCTCTTGTTTGTCCTTAGGGAGAAGTTTGGGTGCTCCTGGCCTGCAGTTGTGACCTCTTTATTCTTTCGTCTCCAGGCTTTACTGTCTTTACAACCACTGGACCACGCGAGTGGCCACGTACTTCTTCATCTGTGTGGACCTTTCTCTGGCCCTGTTTGAGGAGCCCGCGCTGTTCCCGTTGCCCTTTGTGGTGAGCCTGAGAGCATGAGACGTTGGCCGGGTTGTCTCACAGACTGACTGGGGCCCTTGTTTTCCTCAGATTTCAACAAAAGAATTTCTTTTTATTGTTCTTACTGGGTTTTTGAAGAACTCAGCCTGCCTGTTGGCTGATGCTTCAGTTAGCAGGTATTTTAAGGACAATGGAAGTTCCTTGTCTCCTGTTCACCCAAGAAAAATCAGGTAGAAAGCATGTGCAAAGCCTGTCCTAGGAGCATAGGTAGTTGATGTCAAATTGATAATGTCACCATAGAGCAGTGTGCTGAACCTTTTAGAGTTCTCAATGATACAGCTTGCAGGAGGGGGTGTGCCACAGATTTGCCACTGCCGTCACAAAGTGTGAGAGGTGAGACACACTTGCCACATTTTAAGCTTTCTTTCCAGTCAGAAACATTATTTCCTGGTGATTCCTAGGGGATTAGAGGGGGTTTGAGTATTGATATATTCATCAATTTAACCAGCTAATTCAGTGGGTCTAAATGACAAACCAATGACATGACCTGCTCATGTTGCTACTTGACAGGTAGCACACCTGTCTTCATGGCTATCGTTTGCCCTGTCCTTACTGTCTGCTGGGTGCTCAGACAAGTTCCTCTGTATCCTCCCTAAGCCTCATAGTACCCTTTGAAGTTGCATCATCCCTCTTTTATCTGAAAAGTCTATTATCATCCCCCTTTTCAACAGATGAGTTAGTGGAGCTCTAGTTCTGTCTAGTTTGCTCAAGGTCACGTGGCAGTTGGGTAGAGATAGTCTGAGCAAGGGAACCACATGGCCTCTTCTTTATTCTTTCATGTCTCAGCTATCCATGGCTGCATAACAAATGACCCCCAAAACTCCAGTGCTTACAGCCAGGTCAGAAAACTGTACTATAAGTCAAATTTGGCCACCGTCTCTCTTCTACGGCCTGCGCCCTCAAAATAGTGCTACCCGCAGAGTCTTCATGCTCCTGTCCAGCCCACTCATTGGTAGAAACCTCACCCACAGTGTGATGGCCGTTAGAGGCAGAGCCTTCAGGGCGATTAAGTCGCGAGAGTGGAGTTTTCATGAATAGGATCAGAACCCCAGTCCTTTGTGTCCCTTGTCTTCTCTCATGTGTGGACTCCACAAAAAGAAGGCTGTCTGGTGGCCTCCAGGAAGTGCATTCTGAGCAGAAATAAAGTCTCCCAGCACCTTGATCTTGGCTATCAGCCTCCAGAATTGGCGGAATTCAACACATATCTGTTTGTTGTTTATAGACTATCCAGTTTATGGCATCGGACAATTCATATTTTGTGTCACAAAGGGGTAAACTCTGGAAACGTGGGTCATGGGAGGCTGCCCAAGCAGTGCCCCCAGACTTCCATGTGGTACAGATTCTGCAGGGCACGGACTCTTTGGATAGAAGGTGTCCAGCCTAGTGCCTCCTTATGAGCACAGCATCTGCAGAGGCACAGACGTGCTCCACAGGCCCAGTCTGAATGTCACCTGTCCCTCCCTACACTCACCCAGCCCAGCCAGGCGAGATTCCACAGGGTGGTCTTCTCAGACACTTGCCTTTCCTGTGGGTTATTGATCACAAGCAGCTTCTGGTGCTTCTTTAGCCACGGTGTTCCTGCTGCAGTCTCCGAGTCAAATGTGTCATGGGTGGGGATGCCTGTGGCCTCGTTCCAGCATCTCCACAGGAGTCTCGCCATGAGCAGCAGGGTGTTGGAATTGCCCCAAGCCTGCAAGCCCTGCACAGCTGGACAGGCCAAGAGCTAGAAGCTTTGCAAGGGCCTGCATTCCCGACCCATAGGGTGGAGGCTAAAAGACTGTTGTGTCACCTGCAGCTTTCATGACACAACACCCCTCCTTCCTGTCCCCAGAGAGTCTCTTCCCTCCAGGCTCAGCCCCGACCTTCCCCTCTTGGGGCTTATGCCAAGCTGCCCTTTCCCTATCTCTTCCAGCACTGCTGCCATCTCCTTCCTATTGGTACAGAAACGTGCTGTCCCTAGGGAGTGCACCTAGATTGTCGTGGTGATCACGGGGACATCATAGTCCACAGTCATGGGGCACAGTTGGCTGCAGGGAGTTTGGGGCTGGGACCCTGTGCCTGGGGAAGGAACTGGCCAGGACTTACATGGGTCTCAGTGACCCCCACCCTTCGCTCTCCAGCCAAGTTTAGGCTGCACTGGCTGTGATATTTAAAGAATGATCCCCCTCCCATTTTCAAACATGCTTTTGGGGATGTCATAGTCCATTTTCTGTTGCGGTAACAAAATACTGATGACAGGGTAGCTTATGAAGAATAAAAGTTTATTCAATTCATGGAAGCTGGGAAGGATAAAGAAATTGAAGAACCTGGCTAATTCTTGGCAGGAACCAGGCAGGAAAGGCAGGTGGCAGTAGGAGCGTGGCGTGAAGGGATGACTGCGTCGCCATCCGGTGACAGAAGCCTGTGCTCAGTGCTGTCCTTTCCTTGCAGGCCACAGCCCTAGTGGAAGTGCTCTGCCTGGCTGTGTTCTCTGCAAGGCTGGTGCACTTTGCGAAAGTCACTCCTCAGATGGTTTTCTGGAAGGACACGAAGAACATCTGCATCGTGGTAACCATCATGGTAAGCGCGCACTGCCGTGTGTGGGGACCCTTAAGAACAAAGGCAGAAAGCAGGGGGAAGAAGGACTGATAGGTTTGTTTTTGTTAAAGCAACACCCTGCTGCAGCAAACCCAGGAAGGAGGGGACATTGCAAGCAGGCCTCAAGTCCAAGGACAAATATGGCAAAAAGTGACAGTGTAGACATTTTAATGCTTCCAAACTAGTGAAAAAGAAAAGGTAGATGATCTAATAGGAAAATGAGCCGAGAAGTGGGAAGCCAACTCATAAAAGAAGAAATCTGTGAAATGGCTAACATGAAAGATGCTTAACCAAAGTTATTAAACAATATAGATCAAAACAATACAGGGGCTGGGGAGATAGCTCAGTGGAATAAGTGCTTGCATGGTAAGTGCAAGGTCCTTAATTCAATCCCTGGTACCATAAATAAATAAATAAATGAATAAATAAACAAACAATACAATACAATACAATACAATACAATACAATACAATACCACATATTTGCCATAAGAAGATGTCAGCAAGACTGAAGAAAAGCAGACTTAGTACCTTACTAGAAAGAGAAATGAGCCATCTTTCTAGAAGGCTTTTGGTGGCCCTTTCCCTTCCCTTTCTTCTACTTCCTTCCATCTACCCATCTGTAGTACTGGGGACTGAATCCAGGACCTATGCACTCAGCTACATCCTCAGTCCTTTTTGGTTTTTATAGCTCAGACAGTCTTAGGAAGGTGTACAGGCTGGGCTTGAACACTTGATCCTCTGCCTCAGCCTCCCAGAGGGCTAGGATTATAAACTTGCACCACTGTGCATGTGTCATGGGCAGTTCCTCTCAGAACTATGCACTTACGTGTGCATATACTTCACTCTGGACTTCCACTCCTGGGAGTTTATTTTTTAAGAAAGAAAGAAAGACACATTTTAAGATTTAGCCACAAAGTTGGTGGTGGGTGAGCTGTACATGATATTGAGAAATTGGGAACAACTCCATTCCCTGACCATAGGGATCCTCCTTACAATAGGAAAATATGGAGTATAGTGTGACATGTCCATGCAGCCCCTTACTGGATGTGTCTATAATCCAGGAGAGATGCTTATCAGCAATTAAGCAGAGGGCAGTACAGTTGGATCACAGTTTGGTTAAAAAGAAATAGTGGCCCTGGGGGTGCAGCTCAGGGGTACAGCCCTCGCTTCCCTAGTGTGCATGGAGTGCTGGTTTTGCTCTGCAGCACTGCAAATGACAACAACAAAACAGACAGAAGAAAGAAAGAATGTTCTATATACAGTGGTACATTGGTTTACAAGCTTGTTTTTTTTTCTTTGTAATTTTATGTATTTGGTACAGGGTCTCACTGCACAGCTCGAACTCATAGTGATCCTCCTATTTTGGCCTTCCCAGAGCTGGGATTACAGGCGTACGCTGCCACGGCTGGCCTCAGTGGCTGGCTTAGCACAATTGGGGCCTGGCCAGCATGACATGCAGTACCAGGAATCAAACCTGGGTCCTTGCGCTTGTCAGGCAGATACTTAGACCACTGAGTTATCTCTCTGGCCCTAAAAACTTAATTTTTTTTCCCCAGGGCTCTGGCTGTAAACTGAATGGTCATGAACCAAATAAAATTTCCCCAGAAAGTGAACACTGAACCCAACCATTGAATTCGAGTTGGTATTCACAGAAAAATCTAGATGGATACAGTATGTGCCAAACAGAGGGTGCATCCTGCATCACTCATGCAGGGTGTTTGATGTGGGCAGATTATTCTTTTTTACTTAAAGATTTTCAAGATACACTAGACCAGTTGTGGGGAATCTATGGCATGCATGCTGGTGGGCTGTTCATTATCACTGAAAGCTCTAAAGGTTCGTCATCGCCGCTGGGATCTTCTTTGGTCCCAACCTCACATGAATCTTTTGCCTACAAACCTGAAGTTAATAAAAGTTTCTGTATTCCAGATGCGTTTATCTTTGTTCCTTGCTAGAAGGCCTTTCTTTTACATGTCAAAGGGGAGGAAAGCTTAGTAGGATGCAGCAGCGTGACCAGGAGTAGCAGTGTGATGAGCAGGGGGGGTGTGGGCGCCTGCGACCTGGCTTCTGGCCCCAGTTCTGCCGCCTCCCAGCTCTGTGATGAGAGGCCATGTGGTTACCCTCTGCCTCAGGTTCTCCCAACCAGGAACGGCGGTGTGCCGAAGCTAAAGTGAAGTGGCTCCAGAGGATACCTATTGGACTGGATGATGCACATGCTAGCTATGGTTAATGGTGTACCACAAAAGTTAAAACTAGGCTACTTCTGAGGCTTGCTGTTTTCTGTGACTCTCTGATTCCTTGCTAGCTAGGTGAGAGTGCATCCACCTCATTACTCCTTGTCCTTTGGTAGCATGGTTCTGACGTCTGTGTCTCCTACAGGTGACCCTGATTGACCTCATTATATACGGGTCACTGGAAGCCGTGCGCATCCACAGTGTTAGATGGACAAGGGCCTTGAGGCCGGTCTTCCTCATTAACTTTCCTGAAAGTCGTCAGGTAAAGATATGATTTAGGATGTGCAGTGGTTTGGTCTTTTGGTTTTTACAGAAAGTTAACTGGCTTTTCATAAATGAAATGAAATTTTGTCCCCCTAGATCCGAAGGGCTTTCCGAAGCATCCGGAACACTCTGCCGGACATCCTTTATGTCTTCCTCCTGTTCCTGTTCAGTGTGCTCATGTTCTCCCTAATGGCCTTGAAGCTTTTTGGGGACAGGTGAGCCCATCTCCCTGCAGGATTCTGCCTAAGAATCCTCCATATTTGTATTAAGCTATGGCCTGCAGACTCTGCCACCAGGCACTGTCTTCCTTGTTCCCTACTCCAGAAGTGTCCTAGAGATGTGCAAAGTGGGTGTGATTTTCACTTTGTGCTTTTGGTTCCTGTTTAGGAGGCTGAAAACAGTGGAAGGAGCTCCTTACTTCACAAATCTTCTGGAAATAGCGTTTGAGCTCTACGTGCTAGTCACTACTGCAAACAACCCTGACATCATGTACGTGTCCCCCGACTTCTGTGCAAGGATCTCTGTTATAGGAACAGAATCCACATTAGTAGAAGGAGCTGTTGGAGTGGGCGTGTGGCTCAGCAGTAGAGCACTCGCCTCATGCCTGAGAGGCCGTGGTATTGCATCTGCAACCCTGCAAAAACAGAACAGAACAAAACCAAACCAAAAAGCAGCTATGTCTGATACTATTAGGACTAAGAGAAGGAAAAATGAGATTTTCTGACTACTTGTATTCCTTGTAAAAATATTGAAGAGTATAAAACTCTGCACAAATGATAGCCTTCTCTAATTTAAAACTAAATTTAGATGAATTCTTTGAAAATTGAAAGCAACAGGAGACATCTTTTGAGATTCAGCTCTTAAATAATGGAGTCCATTTCCTATTCTGGGGTCTTCTCAAAGTATTTTGTTTTGTTTTGTTTTGTTTTGTTTTGTTTTGTTTTGTTAGAGATAAAGTCTTGCTATATAGGCTGAGCCAGCCTTGAACCCACTGTGTAACCTCCTGCCTCTGCCTCCTGCCTCAGCAAGGTCCTGGCACTGCCATGTTATCTTAGGTCTTTCCCTCTGGACCCCAACTGCTAGCCACAATGGCACCCATGACATAGTTCCTCCCTTAGGATATCCTGTTTCCGTTGAAGGCCCTGACTTAGGCTTCTTGTACTGCCATAGCTACTCACAATTCCCCTTTCATTCTCCCAGTCCCAGGGTGCATAGATATTTATCTGTCATCCCACCCAAGGCCACCTAGTATCTGGCAGGGCCTGAGTATAAGGTTTATTTGTGTGTGTGTGTGTGTGTGTGTGTGTGTGTGTGTGTGTGTGTGTGCAGGGTCTCACTATGCTACTATGCAGCTCGGACTCGTGGTGATCCTCCTGGTTTCTGCCTCCTTAGTGCTGGGATTACAGGAGTGTGCCACCATCCCTGGACTCCATTACCAGCTCAGCGTGCCTGACCCCTGTGCTTACCTAAGCGAGCGCTTATTCTGCTGAGCTATACCACTGGCCCTCAGAGCTTGAGTATAAATCCAAGCCACACTCCTTGTTCTAATTCTAGAGTGGTGGTTCTCCCTTTAGGGCCTGACTTTCTCACTGTAAAGCAAGAGAGTTAGACTGGGCAGTCACTAACACCTGACCCATTTTGAACACTGGATCCTGTATAAGACACCAGAATGTCAGAAGGGTAGATTTAGATGAGCTGTTTAGCCACAAGGATGGTGATGGTTTCAAGGCCCCATGATGCAATGACAGTGAGAGGTTTGAGGTGTCTCGTGCATAATAACTGTGCTATGGGAGTGGCCTGTGGTCACCCTTATGTACACTGTGGAACCAGGGCATGAAAAGTCATGCCACACCATCACTGCCTTCCAGGATGCCTGCCTATAACTTCAGTTGGTGGTATTCCTTGTATTTTATAACCTACATCATCATCAACACCTACATCTTCATGTCCGTCTTTCTGGCCGTGGTCTACAACAACTACAGGAAACACTTAAAGGTATCATGCCTGAGCCTGGGGCCAGGGGTGGGCAATGCCTGGGCTGGGCACAGTGGCAGGCATGGGCAGGTGCAAGCACTAGCTAGGAGGAAGTGTCCTCTGCCTTGCTCAGGGGGATCGGAGGGCTTGTGTGGCACCCTGCTGCCCTCGGCTGAGCTGCGGGTTTCTTTTTTGTTTTTTATTTCATAGAAAAAAGGTAATAAATAAATAAATAAATAAATAAATAAATAAATAAGGTAAAACAAAATTTCATAGCAAGATGATAGGAGATTAATGATAGTTAATACACTACACATTATCTTTAAAGTAGCCACTCAGAGTATAAGATAAGGGCATAGAACATTTAACGATATTAGCACAAGCCTTCCTTTCCTATGAACTGAAAGACACTAATAGTGTAACTAGCTCCCACTTTTCTCTTTCCCCTTCCTTCCTTTCCCCTTTGTCCTATCCTAGTTCCTTTCTCCCTCTTAAGAATTTCGTCCCATTTCACTATATCTATTGTACACTTTAGACCTTATTTACTCTTTCAGTTTCTCATACCAGGGAGACAATACAATGTGTGTGTGTGTGTGTGTGTGTGTGTGTGTGTATATATATATATATATATGCTATTTCACTTATGATTATGGTCTCAAGTTGCATTCATTTACCTAGAACAATCTCAAGTTTATCCTCCTTAATGGCTGAGTGGTACCCCATTGTATAAAAAGACTACATCTTTTTGTCCATTCCTTGGTTGATGGGCATTTGGGTTGCTTCCAGAATTTAGCTATTACAAATTGTGCTTAAGCAGCGTGTTTCTTGGACAGTCTTCATGGTGGGTCTGAGAACAACTGCAGGACAAAGGATGTAGATACTTTTGTTCTGAAAAAATCCTTGGCTTTGCTTGTTGCTCTTACTGCATCCAGTGGCTCCAGGATCTTTGCAAGGTTTTGGGGGTTGGGATATTCTCCAAGCTTCTAGGCCCTTTCCTCAGTAGGGCCAAGGAGGAAGCTGGGGAGAGCTACAGTGTCTGCAGTTAAGGAGAAGCAGGTAGTGGAGCTGAGTCTCAGATTTGGCCATTCTGGTTCTGTCCAGGCTCTTTGGATCTGATCCTGAGTCCACACCTCCTCCAGGCTCTTCCTGCCCCTGAGGGGAGAAACCATTCCTAAGGGTCTGGTGAACCTCGTATCTCTTTCACAGCTGGAGAGAACTATCCTCTGAGTGCCCCCTCCATGGAAGTGTGTTCCTGAAATGCCCTGGGAAATTAGTCGAAAAGCATGGCCTTCATGTGCCCTGCACCACAATGATTAACACCCAGCCCCTGCTCTTCAAGAATGGACAATCTAGCTATGTAGTCTGTTGGCTGATGTTGGTATTGGGCAACTGACTTACAGGGAGCAGTGACAGAGGGCGTGGAGGCTGGGCGGCTGGTTATAACCTGAAAGACTGTCGAGCTTCCTCTGTGCTGGGAGATTCCTTGTGGTCAGGCCAGATGGCAGCCCAGCCAGCCCCAGTTGTCCTATGGCTTGGAACTACTTTTAGCCTTGTTTCACTTCCCTGACTTTCTCTCCCTGTTCTTCTCTTTCTGTCCTGACTGAACAAGAGCTCTCCCTACCCCCACCTCTGTTCTTCTTCTCAGCAGCGCAGCCAGTCTCCTTCCTTTCTGGACTCTCCTCCCTCCTGGGCAGAGTGGAGTTTGGAGCTGTCTGCTTCCTGTCCCTCTGCTTCTTGCCACACAGATTTTCCTTCAAGGGCTCCTGCAAAGCAACTGGGTAAGACAAGTGTTGTGGACACAGACACAGTCTAGCTAAATAGACCTGGAGCAGGGAGGGATTGTGTCCCTTGTCAGCAGATTCTTCAGCAACTTCTCCTGGGCTCTTCCATGACCTTGAAATATTTGGGGGTAGAAGAAATGGCTCTTCCTTGAATCTGCCTCTTGAAACACCCAACCTGCTTTTAAAGAACGAGATCCGCACACTGGCGCACCTGAAGCGTTACAAGATGATAGAGGCATTCGACATTCTCAAAGTCAAGGTGGGCACAGCGTTTGTGGTAAAGGAGGCCATGTGGAGGCAGCTGGCCAAGGCGGTGGCGCCAGACATCAGCAGCTCCCACCTGGAGCTTCTCCTGAGGATCTCCGACGACAGACAGCAGGGGTTTGTGGGTAAGAAGCCTTCCTTACGCCTCCAGCAGTACTAGAGGCATCCCCAAGTCCCAGGGTGCTCAAGTTCTTTGTATAAAACGGCTTAGTGTTTTAGACAACTCACACATATCCTCCCATCATCTCTAGATTACTTATAAAACTTAAAAAAAATTATATATCTTGAGACAGGGTCTTGCTATGTAGTTCAGTCTGGCCTTGAATTCACTATGTAGCCCAGGCTGGCATTGAACTCATGGCAATACTCCTGCCTCAGCCTCCTGAGTGCTGGGATTACAGGCACATGTCACTATGCCCAGCTTATAAAACTTGATGTAATACAAATGCGGTAGTCGGTATACTGTAGCGTTAGGGAGCCAGAGAAGAATTAAAGGCCTGGGCGTGTGCAGTGCAGAGGCACAGCCCGCCCTTGTGCATGGACCATGGGTGGCTGACCTGCAGATGCAGAACTTAGAGAAAAGCAGGGTGCACTCTATTTAATACTTCTGTTTATATCAGCGAACACAGCCCAGCTCCTCTGACTCTAATCGCTGGCTCACAGTTGGGGTCACCTGAGTTGTGATCTGTTTGTAAAGCAAATGAGGTCAAGACTCACCTAGTTTGAGAAAGAAATTCACCGGTCAGGGATTACGTTATGGCTCCATCTATGTGGCAGGGAGAACGTGCCGGTGGGCACCTGGCTTATCCGACTTCCTCAGTGTCTGAGGCCCTTATGGAAGAGCAGTGTATTTAAATATCATCACCAGGGCAAACCTGTTTTCAAGGCAGAAAAGTAACCCAAAGGGTGACTTTGAGGGTGGCATGTTATATTTCACACGGTCTAGTGATACTTTCTGGTGGCTATCGTCCTAGGACTTCTTGGTTAGAAAAACTTTCAAAAGCAGTTTTAATAGTAATAGGCTGGGACTGGAGAGATAGCTCAGCAGACTAAGTGCCTGTTTAAGTAAGCACAGGGACTGGGATTACATCCCTGGCACCACATGCTGTGCCTAACCTGACCCCAGGGCCATTGAGTCTGGGCATGGTGGCATAAGCCTGTAATCCCAGTGCTAGGGAGGCTGAAAACAGGAAGATCACTATGAGTCTGACCTGTGTAGTGAGACCCTGTACCAAATGCATAATTTTTTTTTTTTCAAAAGTAAGCTGAAATGATCGCACACTTTACTGTGGTATCATTTCTGTAGGCAGGGGATGGCGCTATCTCTCAGCAATGTCTCATGTCCCCCTGCGCCAGCAGCTGTGAGGACAGGTGGATTCTAAGGCTGCCACACCCTGGAATTCAGTTAGTACCGGAGGCACTGAAACATAGACCTAGGGGTAGCCTGAGAAACATAAAACTCATTAGAGTTGAAAGACAAATAACATAGATACTACCCAAGTACCATTTTTTCCTTAGTGATATTTGTATTGTTGTGGTTTCAAGTCTTTAAAAAAATCATTTCTTCCAGGACAACAGTCACATAAAACATAAAAACTATGCACATGTATGGGATACCATGTGAACTTTTAATGTTTGTATACATTGCATGTTTCATAATTTTTAACAGAGACTATGAGGCAATCTGGCAACTGCAGCAAGGGGGCAGCTGGCTCAGCCCCTGCGTCTGCTACGGCTCCCGCATGCTTCCCTCCATTCCGCTTTCCTGCACCACGGTTATGCTCACTGTGTGCTGTCTGTGCCTGCTTCCTTGCAGCACGGCAGCCGTGAAGAGTTGTGACAGAGCCCGTAGGCCCATGCAGCCTAACACGCTAACTCCTGGGCTAGCTCACTGGTGGCCTAACA